ATGGGTGGGCAGAGACAGGGCAGTGGGTTTGTATTCCTCTGTTTTATTGAAGTGAGAGGATGACAGGGTCTGTGGAATGTAATGCAGAGTTGTTGAAATTCAGCCCAGAAGCAAATGTGCAATAAGCTGGCAAAGGGAGAAGGGACAGTGCCTGGCTGGCTGATCCCAAGAGAACAGTACCTTACTCTAGGCACAGGAGGGGACCTGAAGGACCACAGAGCAACTATGGGCATGATCCACACACGCTTCACTTTGATTTTTCTCCTTTTCCCTTTACAAAGTTATTTTCCTTGAATTGCTTGTTGAGAAAGAAGCTGCTACACTGGGGGACCTGTTTCAAAGTGGGCTGGGGAGAGTGTAATGGTATTTCAGGGTGGGAGGACTGGGTTTTGTACAAAGAGGAAGACACAGGTAGCTGGTGGTAGGCTGCCTGCCTGTATGTATGTGTATATATGCACATATACACTTAGTAGTACCTGTACATTTAATTCATACACACGTATACATGCCCATACACAGTGCAGATGGTGTACTAAAACCACCTTGGTGAGAATGGGCATATGTATAGCATATATTTTTACATGTACTATATCTAGATGTGTGTAAAAGTGTGTGTAAAAATATATACCCTGTGTGTAATCAGATGACTATTTTTTCCTTATCTCCCTGCTCTCTTGGTAGAGGAAGGATTGCTAAATATTTTTTAGCCCATTTTCCCCTTTGTAAGTCTCCTTTTCCATCTGGCTTCTTGAAGTCAGAACTGCCACCCCCTCAGAATAAGCATTTGGCCCCATCCTGAGTGATCTTGCTGGAAATTTTTTTTTTTTTCTTCACTTGAATGAGTTGGGAGATTGTGTGCTACTTTCATGGGCTCCTAGAGAAGTTTCAGTGAGGGTGTTGGTGATCCAGAAGGCAAAAAATAAATAAAAGTGAAATCCTGAATGATGTCTGAGTGACCATTGTATAGTGTCCAGTGTTGTCCATGCACAGGTGCTCTCAGATTCCTGCCTGCCATAAACTCTCAAACATGGAATTGGATTCATGTCGAAGCTTGGCTATAATGTAACTCAGATTTGCCATTGGTTGTGATCTTTGTGGGAAGAGACACTGACATGTTGGCTTGCACTGTCAGGTTTTTTGGGGAAGAGATTGTAAAGATGCAGTTTTAGAGATCTCTAGCATTGAAATTGGGAACAGCAGGAAAAGGTGATTTTATTTTTTTTTTTTTATTTTATTTTTTTCTCTTTCCTAACTTAGTCCTCCAAAAGTGGCTGCTGCTGGAGAGCTAGCCTGGAAGGCTGCTGTCTCTGGGGCTGGCAGTCTGTGGGCAGCAAATGAGTTGTCAAATGATCCTCAATCCCCTGGGCTGGGATGACTCTTCATGGCTGGCGGCTGGCAGCGGGCCCGCGGGATGCGGGCTGCAGCCAGGATGGGCGAAGCGGTGTGCGTGCGGCTGTTGGGAGGGAGGCTGGGTAGCGGAGGGGAGTGTGTGCGCCTGCCTGCCTCTCATTTTGTTTCCTGCCGCCTTGGAGGAGAAGAACTTACAGCAGCAAGGATAGCTGGCTGACTTACCATAAAAAATAATAAACAAATGCAGTCTTAATTTATAGCTGCCTGCAGTCTCTCTCCCTCTTTATTCTCAGCAGTGGTCTGTGAGTGGTTGGTAATCGGACTAGTTTGTAATCTGGGACTAGTTTGTAAACTATTGGCAGCCGGGGGGTGACTGACGGCGGCTCCGGGGAGGGGGCGGGCCTCCGCAGCCATGACCAAGGGCGGGCCGGCGCAGTGCGGGGCAGGCGTCCTGGGCGGAAGTCCCGCCCTCTCCTGCAGCCTCATAGGCCATTTGTGCAGGAAGTCCCGCCCTCTCAATCAGTCAACGGTGATTGGCAGGACCACTCCCCCTTTCCACTGATTTACCTACAAGAGCCCATCAAACCAGAGGGCACTTCCCCTGGTTTTTATCTGTTTTACACCTGTGGGTTTAGGGCTGTATGTATGGAATCTCTACAACTTTATAAATGTACATATCAGAATCACCTTGAAGATCATCTAGTCCAACATCTGTTAAAATATATGTCTACACAGATAGAGGTGTCCATCTGAAAATACAGTTATACACGCCTTTATAGAAATAATTCCATATATGCATACACTGTATAGAAATGTATGTATTTTGATATCTGAGCACTTTGGGGTCCAAAGGAAGCGAGCAGCCAATCACGGGGCTGCCTGAGAACACGTGGGCATGACGGTGCCAAGCGGTGGCTGTCATCCAATCACGGGGGCTGTATGACGTTTAACAAAATGGCTGCTCCCTGCTCTAAAATGGTGGGTGAAACAAAATGGCTGCCCCCTGTGCAGGTAGGTGGTGGGCCTTCCCTGTCAGATGTATAGCTCGGCAACCCGGTAGGCGGGGCGCCCGGTCCTTCCAGCCAATCACGAGAGACCCCCTCTATCGCTGGGGCAAATGGCCGCTGAGACTGCCGGGAGGGGGCGGGACTGCTGGCGGGAGCGGTGGGCGGTGCCCCGCGGCCCCCGGCGGAGTGAGGGCGGGA